ATGTGTTCCCTATGTTCCGGTTGCAGAGTCAACCGAGAGAACGCTACTTTCATTGATAATCTAGATACTAGATGTAGGAAGATGTAGCAATTCTGAAGAGCTGCTTAGATACAACAATTTCAGTAGTTTGTACCGATTCTCTTCTTCGAGAGCATGAATGAGCTATATAGAAAATGTGTTCCCCAGCCTTGCCCACAATCTCTTATGAAGCCTGTGACTTGGAGCTTGGACTAGGAAACCTATAGAGATATTCTGAACGTCGCAAAGAAGCTATAGTATTTCTATAGTAACTGAAACTGATACTAGATGTAGGAAGGTGTAGTATTTCTGAACAGCTGATCAGACACAACTGTTCCAGTAGTTTGTACCGATTCTTGACGAATAATCTATCTGTTCCCTATGTTCCGGTTGCAGAGTTAACCGGAAGAACGTTACTTTCATTGTTAACCTAGATACTAGATGTAGGAAAATGTAGCAATTCTGAAGAGCTACTCAGACACAACGATTTCAGTAGTTTGTACTGATTTTCTTCTTCGAGGGCATGAATTACCCAGACAGCACTGGATATTCCTAGAATATTCTCTAAATATGCTAAAAAGGAGGAGTATATTCCGAATATTCATCGATTATTCCTAGAATATATACATGCCTCTGGAACATCTAGAAGGAATATTCCAAAGTGTTGTTCAGGGAATATTCAGGTATGAATTTTCCAGGAATATCCCCAAATGAATATTCTCTCTTGTATATTCATGAAATATTCCCAACTGAATGTTCTGTGGGGTATATTCATGAAATATTCTCAACTGAATATTCTGTGCGGTATATTCATGAAATATTCTCAACTGAATATTCTGTGGTGTATATTCATGAAATATTCCATGAATATTCCTATGTTTCTCAACACATAAATACCCATCATTATTTCAGAGTTGTGAGTATCGAACATCAAAATTAGATGTAAGGGGATTTTGAAACAAAAAGTGTTTATGATCCGATTTCGAAAAACGCTCTCACAAGAAACTGATATGTACATTATTATTCAATTCGATTACTGGCCTAGTGGTCAAGGCGTTGGTCTGATAGTCTTGAGGTCACGAGTTCGATCCCTACTAGGGTCCCTTTTTTTTATTTTAGAATATGTTTATTGGAATATTCCAGGAATATTCAACATGGAATATTCTTTTGGATATATTCTATGAATATCTGAGGAATTCCCATTCGCATATTTAGAGAATATTCCACAGATATTCCGGAATATTCCAGCTTATTTCTAGAATATTCCAATATTCCAAAAGGAATATGATAGGGAGATTCATGGAATATCTGGTGCTGTCTGGGTAGCTATACAGAAAATGTGTTCCCCAGCCTTACCAACAATCTTTTATGAAGCCTGTTACTTGAAGCTTCGACTAGCAAAAGTATAAAGATATTCTGAACGTCACAAAGAAGCTATAGTATTTCTATAGTAACTCAAACTGATACTAGATGTAGGAAGGTGTAGTATTTCTGAAGAGCCCATTAGACACAACGGATCCATTAGTTTCTACCGATTCTCGACAAATAATGTGTTCCCTATGTTCCGGATGCTTAGTTGAACGAGAGATCGCTACTTCCATTGACAACCTAGAAAGAAGGGATGATCTGACGTCGCAAAGAGGCTATACTAACTGAAACAATACAGATGTAGGAAGAAGTGGCGGTTCTGAAAGGCTGATTGGACAACGACTCACTAGTTTGTGCCGAATTCTCAACAGAGAACGTGTTCCATATGCTCCAAGTGTAAAGTTAAACGGAAGAACGCTACTTCCATTGACAACAGCATGTCGACGGAGCAATCCATAATTAATCCAGATCCATATCGGATGAAGCAGAACCGATAATTCCTCAGCGACACTCCTTCCTTTCAGCTTCGCAGCCGTCTCCGATTCATTTTCCATAATCCCAATTAATTATGGAAACTTCCACGGCGCGAGAGAGAACAGAGGGATAGGTTGTGATCGGAGGCCGATTACCATCTGGTCGACTCCGTTAACGTTAATGGATGAGTGGTTGGTCCACAAAAAGCTGTTGCGAGTTGCGATATCTGCTGAAAGCGTTCTAGTCGCTTGTTGCATGCTCGAGATCAGGATAGATGCATTCGAAACACACAGAGAGCTGAGACAGGAACGAAGTCTGAACGGCCAGGCCGGAATGAGAGATCGGTATCAATCGCCGGCCACGCCACCAGTACCAATACGAATAAAAAGTCAAGCTGATCGCATGGAATACCGGCTCATCCGCCCATTCAGATCACTTTTGCGCCGGCGCACCGCTCCTCCGCTAACATAACCTCTACAAGAAATAGGTCGGGTGCACGATGACCGACCCTGGAGGAAAAATATTGAAGCACAACCTCACTTTTCTGTAAAACATTGAAACACAACCTCACTTTTTCATTTGTTTACAGAAGTTTACATTTCATTGGTAGTAACGAATAGCATTGCCACGAAACCTTATACCGCTCGGCTGAAGCCTCTGGATATAATCTTGGTCCCTGGGTAATAATTATATTCTTGAGATTCTTGCTCCATTTTCTATCATTTTCCTCTATTTTTCAAATGTTTTACTCATGAAATTGTATGTTCAGTGTTTACTCTTATATGTGTACCTATATATAAAATGAAATTGTAACTTGTGACTTGTTTTATACCTTGTACAGTTTACAAAATTAATAAAGTAACTTGATTGATTGATTGATTAAACCATAGATTAACGACTCCCCTAGATATACACCGTGAATGGGGATTTGGTCAACACTGAAATTAGTGAAACAGAACATACATAGATGTCTCCAGTATCCTTGGTGCGAATAATTCATCCGAGGTCCAGACAGTCTGTGGTCTATTTATAGCGCCGTGCACCCTCGCTATACGTGACAGCGTTGCCAGAATGTGGCATACACTCTTATTACCATTCTTGGATAAAAAATCAGATCAGAATAAAAATAATTATTCTGCATCTTCTCTATAAAAATGAATGTTTGTCTGTCTGTCTGTATGTCCTCTATGAAATCGTAAACGGCTCGACTGATTTGGATATTTTTTTATTTCGTTATAGTTCAGGGATGGTTAAGGTAGAAAAACAATTGAAAAAATCAAATATGGCGGAACCAATATGGCAGACGAGTTTTGTATTTATGGACCGATTTCGTTCAAAATTGGTATCTAGGGGTTTTCGGGGTCGGAGATTATGATTCTTTCGTCAAAATTAGGAAATTCAGAATGGCGGATTCAATATGGCAGACGAGTTTTGTAATTATGAACCGATTCTATTAAAAATTGGTATCTGGGGGTTTTTGGGGTCAGAGATTATGATTCCGTCGTTAAAATTAAGAAATTCAAAATGGCGAATCCATTATGGCAGACGAGTTTTTTAATTATGAGTAGATTCTATTGAAAATTGGTATATGGGGGTTTTCAGGGTCGGAGATTATGATTCTTTCGTCAAAATTAGGAAATTCAAGATGATGAATCCAATATGGCGGACGAGTTTTGTGATTATGGACCGATTCTATTCAAAATTGGTATCTGAGGGTTTTTGGGGTCGGAGATAATGATTTCGTCGTCAAAATAAAAAAATTCAAAATGGCGCATCCAATATGGCGGACGGGTTTTGTGATTATGTTCCCATGTTTGTCTATATGTCCGTTATATAATCGTTAACGGCACGACCGATTTCGATGATTTGATGACTCAAAATAAATTGAATATTTGTGTAATGTCTTTCCTTTAAATTTATTTTAGTTGATGGCGTAGCAACGCGCGCAGGGTACAGCTAAATATAATATATTTGTCTGATAACCATCATAATATTACCTATATCATGAATCTGTTATACATAAACACTTGAGATATGATAAAAGCATGAGTTGAAATATGATATGTAGAAGAGTTGAGAAGTAGCACATTAATTCTTATAATGAAAATTGGAAAACTTGAATAAGAAAAAGTATGAGAAGTTCATGTTCAGAAAAGCTGAAAAATATGAGCTTTGAGATATTTGAGAATTTGAGGCATAATGTGTTTTAGGAAGACCAAAAGGTTGAAAAGTTGAGAAGTTGAAAATTTTGAGAAATCGAAAATGTTGAAAGACAGTGAAGTCGTGTGCGTTGCAAACCTGAAAACTTGAAAATTTGTAGAAAAACTTGCACAATAGGTACTTGAGAATTAAAGAGAGATGAAGGGTTGAAATAGTGGAAAATGAAATGAACAACAAACAAGTTGAAGAATTGAAAAGTTGAAATGTATGAGTATGAATGGTTTTGGAAGCTGAAAATTACAGAGAAATGGATTGAAATCGGGATGAAATTGTATAAAGTGAGAATTGAAATATTCAACAATGTGAAAGTGAAAATGATGAAAAGTCAGAAAGCTGAACAACAAACAGGTCGTAGAGTTGAAAAATTGAAGAACAGAAAATCTGAGATGTTGAGGATAATGAGAATTTTTGACAAAATTCAATTTTGAAAGACAGAAAAGTTGAAAATCCGATTTTGAGGATAAAAAATGTAATGGATTGATATATTATGTATGCGTATATGGTGACAAGTTGCATAATTGAAATATCTATTTGATGGTTCGAAAGTAAAAGTTATTAAAAGTTGTAATTGTTGGAAAGCTGAACTACAAACAGGTTAGAGGAATTGAAAATCTGAAGTGTATAAAAGTTGAGGTTTTAAAATTCTGAAAATTTGTTGTAGAATTGAATAGGTACTCAATTTATGAATTTATGAACAGAACAGTTGAATTATAATTGAAAGTTGAATTTTAGAGAGAAGACAAAAAAATCACATGAAAGATCTATATAATTCTCAAAATACATCACACATCACATAAAATAACGACTCCCGATAATCTATACACTACGTAAAATATCAAGTTTTGATTTATTTGATACATTCATTCCTACTCTTATTCTCAATCGAATATTTTTCAGACGTCGACATCCATTTGCACTCTTTATATAATTTTACTACAATCAAATGATTGATGAGGAATCCAAAATGTAAATGGATCACTTCTCGATGAGGCGAATGAAGCCGGCGACTCCGATTTCGGTTCTTCCGAACGGGGACTTCTTGACGAAGAAGTCTCCACTTCTGGAGGATTCTGGTTCGAACTTTCTATTGCACCTCTCGTTATCAGTAGGCTGTCTTCATCTTCTTCGCAGTTACTCAAATTAGAAGGTTTCATTAGATTGATTTTCGCAGTCATACGAAATGTCGTCCTGAATGTTCTTACATTATAACCGCCTCTTTGACGATATCCAGCAAAAGAATTCTCTAATATATCCTGATTCAGCCTGTTGGTAAGTAAATAAGGAAATCCTAACTCTTTTTGCTGCTCGTACAGGCACATTATGGCGTTGATGGACCATATCAATCCATTAAATGATGCCGGCCGTGTTGGACCTTTTTCCGTGACCTTTGTCAAGTTTTCTAGCATTGTTTTTGATTCCGTTTTATCAACGGATTTTCATGAGAACGAGGGCTATTATATGGATTTTTAGAGTACGGCATTTTGCTGTTGAGACAGTCGAACAAATTATTCTCATAAGAATTATTATACTTGAGAAATCCAATTATTGAAAAATTGTAACGTTGATAAAAAAACACCCCGTATGATATATTGTTCTGAAATTTGATATCGATTGCCATCATCAAAATTATTGTAAAAGAATTTAAATCTGTTTTCTTCAATTTTGCTGTAGTTTTTGTGATCGCAGTAGGCTAAGAATTTGTCATTGACAATTTTGTATTGCTTGAAATAGTAGATAATTTTGAGTAGTAAATTTAAAAAGAAAGTTTTTCAAATCGCTCTAGGATAACGAGAGTACAGGGGTGGGGTGGACCAAATTGTAACACACTGTATGTACAGTTTGTCCACCTTAAGGAATTACCACCCCTCTAAAATCGTTATTCATCTGACCGATTTCAAAAAACTTTTTTTTGTTGGATAGGTATTTGAAATGTCTATCTTCTTCTACAGCGAAATATTCAGTTATTCTTCGCCAATTTTTTCGTGTGTGCCCTGAGAAATCATTCGAGTGGATACATTCGTGAAGATTAGACAGTCATTATTTGAAGGTGAGCATAAAGTAGGTAGATTGATTTTTTAATCACGACGGCTTATTAACACTTTTCTCGATGCGATGAAAACAAACTAATAAACAGAGTGTCCCTGAAAGGTCTGTACAAAAACTTAGCACATATTCCTGGGGTCAGAGTAGGCCGATTTGAAGCAACTACCTCAGTCTGAAATTGCTTCGTTTCCGAAATACAGGGTGGCTCAAAATGGTTTTTTAATTCGAAACTTTTCGAAGTGATTTTTCTCGAGTTTTTCAAATGAAACACCCTATATATTTTTTGGCTATTTGATGTGTAATCAAAACACAATAATAAATACAATGAAAAATCAAATATCATGAAAATTGGTCCAGCCGTTGTTGAATTAAAAATGGTGTAACTAACACGAATTTGGACTTTCTTGTATATAGACAGACCTAAACATTCTAAACAATCTAAACTATGCTTCCATATATTATTATGCATAATCAACATTTCAATGTTTTATTCCTCTTGCTTCAGAACTTTCCACCTTTCCATAGAACATTAATGGAATAGTAAGTATAGTTTATGCAAAGTCAGATGGAAAAACACATCACCGCAGACCGTCGGTTTCTTTGAAAGTTCAAAGAGAGCGGCAGCGTGGCACGACAATCCTTTTGATGATCTGTTCAACTGACTTCGTAGAAAGTATAACCCTATAATATATTCACCATCAGCAGTTTCATACAAATATTCACCCAATGTCTATTCATATCAATTTTCAACTTGTTGATCATTCAACTTTCCAACATTTCAACTTTCCAATTCTCATGTTCTTCAAATTGTCATCTGATGTTCTTTTTTTTTTCGCTTCAAATAGTTCAGCATATTTTTCTAGAACAATATACCTATAAACAGTAAATTCATCGACTGTTTACCCTAAAAACAGTGCCCCATATCCAAATGCATCTTCAGCTTCTAAACTCTGGAGTTCTCGATCAATTGAATTTCCAAAATTTCTTCTTTCTCACACTCATACCATTTATTATAATTGTCAACTCACGTTCATGAATTTTCCAGCTTCACATAGGTAGGCACAATAACACATCATGAGTAATCATAATTTGAGCACAATGGAAAACTAATAAAATAACATAATACCATAGATACATAGATTAAAGATTGAGATCTCCTATACATACCAAGGAAGTCTTATACTAAAAATAATTGTAGTTGCAGTATCGTAGATTAATAATAATCTACATGTACCTACCAATATATTAGAAATCCAACAAAAACTAACATTTGACAACTCCGCTTCTATACGCGGAATGCCATTATACAGAAATCTGTAAAAAATCGAATTTGCAACCACGCGCGGAAATTCGCAATAGCGGCGATAGATGGTGAAAAATCGGGGTCCCAAATAAATCCCAAACAAGCGTTACCGTCTGAATGCATGGGCGGTGTATATCTAGGGGAGTCGTTAATCTATGATTAAACCCTCGGCTGAAACCTCGGGATATAATCTTGGTCCCTGGGTGATAATGATATTCTCAACTAAATTGGTGTATAAAACTATTGTTCATTGAAAAATAGTTATTCATGTGCCAAGGACGAAAAACTGTCTACTATAGTCAATTCTGTAAATTGATAGTAGAGGCTTAGCCGACCCCAGGCGAGACACTAGAAAGTCTATCGCCGAGGTGCATATTGAATTTTTTTTTCGACCGCGAACATTTATATTCACACGTGAAACTTATTGGATTTCGTAAATAGTTGATTTGACAACATCAAATGACAGTTGACAGCTGTCAACTAAATCGCCGCTCTCGCAGTGCATCATAGTGACCACAGTCCACAGCGGACGAAAAGTACGGAAATATATTTCCGTAATCGTTTAATCTAATATATTCGAGTTCAACATTTCTATATGCTCAATGAGTGTGATAGAGAAAGAAGTTTCAATATTACGCCGTCCATATTCTGCTATGGTTATGTCCGATACTTATAGTCATCAGTGAGAAATTGGATATCCATCATTTATCTTCAGTCTTGTGAATGATAAAGCCAGTAGTAATTAGTCAGTGTTTGGGAAATTCGTGGAAAAACTAAAAATATTATTAGTAGTGTTATCATTTAGATACTATATGAAGGTTGAATTTCCATCGAGTAATGGTCGAATCTATATAAAAAATCATAATCTTGCATTCATAAACATTTACTAGGTCGGATGTCCTAGTAGCCATATCTTTGACATGGTTTATAGGTAAAAATAAGTATAAGATGAACTTTTCAGTAGATTATCTTTTGCAGCATTGAAGTTATACCGGATATTCACGATAAAAGTATATTTTGCCTCGGTGGATGGTGAGAACACAAATGAAGAGTGACGAAATAATATAAATAATATAACTGATAAATATTTATTGCCCTCTGATCTCGAAGGAAATGAAACATCAACGAGCGAGTTCACGTTCACTCAACAAGAGAGAACCAATATTAACAGTTCCTCCATTCAAAAGAAAAAATATTGAAGGACTACTACGAGTCATGGCAAGTTTTATCGATAATTTTCTTATATTCTACGAAAACTCGTTAATTTGTCAATAATATGGAAACAAATCGATTGGGATTTGAAGTGTTCGTATAAGGTTTCCAAGAAATTTGCATTTTCATTTACGAACGTGTTAATAGATAAATATTAGGTATACGTGTAGAATTTGACTTTTCAACAAATAGGGTGTTCCAAAAAAACCTGACCCGTTTGCTAGGGTAGGTAGAACACTGCAAAAAAAGTTGGTTTTGCTCAGCAAAAAAATGTCGCAATGGCATCCATTTCCAAGATAGAAAGAAATATTTGTCACACATTTTTTACGATTATGTCAAAACTACTGGCAACATTGTACAACAAGATGAATTCATGATCCCCTGTATGATATCATAGAAAATATATTTATTTTATTTTTTATTCCTTATTCGAATATTATCTCCTCGAATATTTTTTCCCTCGATAATTTTTGTAATGGACTATGCTTGTGGAAATCTACCAGAAAAAGTTCGACTGCTCGACGACCTTCTCACCGAATTGTGGGATATAATGAAGAAAGTAGAATTGAATAGAATAGAATATTTATTGCAGCATAAAAGGTCAGACAAATTACAATGCAAAACACTTATCAGCCTAGTCTAAATACATGCATTGGTACATACATAAGCACAATAAAATATAATCACAAATTATTCATTACTACAATACATTCACAAACAGATTAAAAGAAATTTCGAGAAGAAATACTGAGGAACTGTTCTACTGTATAGAAGGCATTTTCAAGCAAAACATTTTTGAGTTCTCTTTCGACTAGCTTATCCCTGTTTTCATAATTCCTGATGTGTATTTGTTTGAATTTATTGTACAATTCAATTCCTATGTAATTAGGTGAATTTTGGCAGACCTGTAAACGTGAGTAAGCTTGATGTAGATTATACTTCATTCTTGTATCATGCAAGTGAACATCTTCATTCTTCTCAAACCTCTGTATATTATCTCGAATATAGAGGATCAAGCAATAAATATATAAACTAGGTAATGTCATTACTCGTGCTTCGGTGAACAAATCACTAAAACTAGTTGTACCAGACCGAAATACAACAGTCTCAATAGGTCAAAACATACTGTTCCTCTCAAATTTCTTATTATATAACAGCATGTACTCAACTTTGAACAAATTGATTTTATATGAGGCCCCCATGTCAGTTTCGGGTCAAGTATTACATCCAAAAAATTTCTTGCGTCTGTGGTTCGAAGTGATTTACCTTGAATATGTGAGTAGAGATCATGATCTGGAGATACATTTTTTTGGAGAAATCGCATATAATATGTTTTTGTAACGTTTAGTTGGAAGCCATTCTGAGAGCAATACTTAGCGAGCACAAAAACATCTCAGTAGTTAAAAGTACGAGATTTCGAGACATTGAACCTCCACTGCGATGTTCTGTTCACACATGAATAGAACTACTATAGAACAGCCAATGTCCGCCGCAGGCGGCAATTATCGAGATGTCCTTGATATGTCACAAAACTACCTTCTCCCTAGTTCTTTTTGAAGCCTTTTCATGGAAACAACAAAACATTTTCAACGCGTCTTGCGCACATTAAATCGCTGTAAAGAAACCATTTTTGAGGTACTTTTCTGAAGCCTTTTGTCAAAATGAACTTTTGCATTAGGATTCCATTCCCCTTGAATGAAAAAATGCATTCAAAATAGATTGAACATAAAAATATTTTCTTGATATGAAATTCCGTCTCAATCGGTTTCTGAGTAGTGCTTGCTACACACAGACATATAATTGGAAATAAGTTTCCCAATTTTTGAAATGTTCTCCACAATGCATAAT